AGGTAGTAAAAAATAACAACTGAATCAAAATTTATTAATCTGTTCAATATTACGTGATTTTACACAAAATTATTAAAAGAAGAACTTTTGTTCGTGGAGCGCTCGTTGTCAATCAAGACCGTGATACTAGGAAATCCAACTATTGAAAATATAGAGAGATTAACAAATGAAAAGACAAAAGGACACTTCGAAGGAAGACTATTGGACGTTGCGACGTCCATTTCCCTCCTCATTGGCCGACAAACCTAAAAGTCTTCAATTATGACATACTAAACATAAAAAGAAAGAAAAAAAACCTTAATTCTTAAAATTTTAAATATTCCAAAGAAATACTTTTCACAAAACCAATGATTGTTAGGACGGAGGACTAAAGTTTTTTTTTAGTAGGGATTAATATATATATATATACCAACGGGTTGGATCAAGTGGTAAGCGGCTTGTTCCAGTTTAAGAAGATTTTGAGTTCGAGAGCTTGTGTCCACAGCAGCTCTCGCTGGGAAACTCACCCACCATTTTCAGGTGCGCGACGCAGATCGGGTCCAAATTAATCGGGGCGAAACCCTGAATACCGAGTGAGAAAGTAAAAAATATATATATATATATATATATATTATACAAAGGCAATTGGAGGTAAAGGAAAGGAAAAATGAGAGTAAAGGGACTTGAATCCAGTGACGTGTGTAAAATATTCATACAATGATCACATGAAGTATACATTGAGGTTCGAGATTAATATATTTTTAAGTAAAAACTAAAAAAAAAAAATATGAGCACTGAAGTTATTAAATCATCATTAATAAATAAATATTATATAATTTTTATTAAGAGTAACAATAGAAAAAATGAGAATTTAAAATAAAAATTTAAGATTAGTAATATGATTTATGTTACGTTATTAAATAAATTGATGTATATAATATTATAAATTTTTAAAAATAATTATTAAATATTATATAATTTTTATTAAGAGTAACAATAGAAAAAATGAAAATTTGAAATAAAAATTTAAGATTAATAATATGATTTATATTATGTTATTAAATAAATTAATGTATATAATATTATAAACTAAAAAATAATTATTAAATAATATAAAATTTATATTTTAATATTTTAAAAATATAACTTGCATCAAATTATTAATTTTTAAATTTTTATATTAAATTTTAATTTTATTTACCATTCTTTCTTTATTAAAAGTGTTTAAATAACTTTTGCGAGAGAAGTGTATTTTTTTTAAATGCGGTTCTTACCAAAATAACGTTTCCTAGTTAAAATAGAAAGAATCAAGGCATTAGCGTAAATAAACAAAACCAAAAGGGCAAATACACGTCCTTCACTCTATAATTAGCCATATCTTTCCTAACTCAGTAAAGCTCGAAGCTTGCCGTTCGCTAGTTCCTCTGCAAATGGCGAAGCTCAAAATGCTTCAGCTGCTTTTACCTTTCCTTCTGTTCTGGCTTTCTGCCTCAGAGATTATCTTCGAAGAGCGTTTTGAAGGTACTACCCCTCTTACTGCTGTTGTTTCTTTTAAATCATGCTTGGTTGCCTAGAAAATTTACTATGAAAAGGAAACGTCTTACCACTTCATCAATTGAGAAAATCCGCGCTAGGCGGTTACATTAACCGGTTTTGTCTTGTTATGTTTCTGGGATTTCTCTGTTTTTTTTTTTTAATTACAATTTGGTTTGGTTGTAAAGAAATTGAGAAGAAAGGAAAATTTTTTCAGTGTTCTGTTTGGTTGCTGGGAAAGGCTTTGGAGGAAAAGAGTCAATTCCAAAGTCAACCAACTTTTGAACAGTTAATAAGTTTTTCTTCTTTTTATTTTGTTCTTAAGAATATCTACATGGGTTGCTGGTTCGAGCTTTGAAGATGCCTTTTTTTCTTTAATTTTCACTTAGGCTAATGTTTTTAGTCTTGTAGATGTTTGTGTTTTTTCCTGAGTGATACTGAAAGAATTTCAAATTCCAGTGTCTTTTCATCTTTTAGATCTTCATGGTAACTATAATTTGGATTCTTATGTGTTTAACCTGCTTTCTTTTGTTTCCCCTTTGTTAAGATGGCTGGCACAGTAGGTGGGTCAGGTCAGATTGGAAAAAAAGTGAAGGGAAAGCTGGATCATTTAAGCACACAGCTGGAAAGTGGCCTGGAGATCCTGATGATAAAGGTATATTCTCACATTTTTTCTGTTGATTAGAATACACAATGAAAGAATGTTGTTTCAATTCCATGTGAAATTAGAAAATAGATGAACATTATGTTTTGATTGAAATTGAGTTTATTTATGAACTGATAGGATGAGTTTGGTGCTGACATACTTCTCATTGAGTAATTATTTTACCTGTTCTTATGGGCAGTCGAATCGATTTGATGGAAAAGGATATTAAACTGGCATGTTTGTTATGATGTCTGTAATTGATTTTCAGGTATTCAGACAAATAATGATGCCAGTCATTTTGCAATATCAGCAAAGTTAGATGAGTTTACCAACAAGAACAGAACGTTAGTCCTCCAGTATTCCATAAGGTTTGAACAAGAGATTGAATGTGGTGGTGGTTACATAAAGCTTCTATCTGGGTTTGTCAACCAAAAGAAATTTGGAGGGGACACCCCATACAGGTTTGTTTCTTCAAAACATGTTTAAGAAAAATAAAATCATCTCATTATATTTATTTCACATATATGAGCTATGATAGGATTCTCGATGAGTGTTAACTCTTTTGGGCTTTTGGAGGCTCATATTGTAATTCTGAATTCTTGACTACCAGAGCAGCTTGACTAACAATATATGATTTTGCTTGTTTGCTTTCTTTAACTTATAGTGATATATATTTTAGTATTACTTGCTGACTTTTGGGTGACTAAAGTTCTAATTTCACTTGTATAATTAAAGATTTGACGTTGATTCTTTCTAAGTGTCCACCTAAGAAACCAATCATGGAGCTTTGACTGAAGCTCAAATGCCATACAGATTGCGTTGAAAATATACTTTTTTTCATGTATTCTAAAGTTTTCAATCGCTTAACAGGCATGTTTTGTACTTGTTCACTTATTTTATTTCTTTTTATCCTTTAATTGTAAATGTTTTGAAATTGATTTTTTTTCCCTCTCTCATGCACTATCTCAGCTTCTTTATGGACTAGTTATAATGTTTGTTGTTTTGAGTTACTTGCTTTAGTTTTAGAAATTTTCCTTGACTAACAAGTTTTTATTTCTTGCAGTTTAATGTTTGGACCAGATATATGTGGCTCACAAACGAAGAAGCTCCATGTTATACTTTCTTACCAGGGTCAGAATTATCCCCTCAAGAAGGAGTTAGAATGTGAAACGGACAGGTTGACTCATTTCTACACATTTGTTCTTCGGCCTGATGCAACTTATAGCATCCTCATAGACAATCGGGAAAGGGACTCTGGAAGCATGTATACTGATTGGGATATTCTTCCTCCACAGAAAATCAAAGATGTCAATGCAAAAAAGGTTTCATTTTGAGCTTAACAACTCAATGATCATTTAACTTGTGTTACTTAATGAAACTAAATTATGCTGTTAACTTTTTTATGTTTGATCACTTATTTTGAATTTTAATGGTAACCTCAACCTATTCCTTGCTAGAGAGAATAGAAGTGATTTCTTCAGGCACCGTGTTTTGAGATTGCTCTAAGATTGACCTGCTATTCATAAAAGTTAGCGACTAAGTGGCAGAAATTTTTTTAACTGCTAAAATCCATGCATTTTTCATTGCCATCTCTTGCAGCCTGCTGACTGGGATGATAGAGAATATATTGAAGATCCTAATCCTGTCAAACCAGAGGTAACAAACTATTTGTTATTTATCATGATGAATATCCATATGGTTTATTAATTTAGTGCATAATATATATGTTTTGCTCTCTGTTTCTGGTACTGCAGGGATATGATTCGATTCCAAAAGAAATCCCTGATCCAAATGCTAAACAGGTCAGTTGGCTGCTTTTCATTTTCAACAAAATGGAAACAAAGACGTGTGTTTGCTTTTGATTTCCAAGTTCCAACTGACTATTAGAGCTCACTTATAGAGATGCGATTGACCAAGTTGAATCAACATAGAAGTTGCTTGAAATTTGACCTTGTTAAAAGACTCTTTTTCATGCTCAAACTCAATATGAGAGCATTCTTGCAATACATGAGATTGACATGACTTGACATAATTACCACATTTGAAAGTTATTTATTGCATGACTTATATTCAAGATATTTTATTTGTATCATACATTAATCTGCCAAAAATGCAATATTAGAAGTTACATCTAATTTAGGCTTGTCAGCAACTCTTAACTAATCAAACTGGAATGTGATTGAAATTGACTTGATCTTGGTAGCAACTGAGTCAAATAGCAGAATTAGGTTACTTTAGACCAAGAAGCTTGTGAGTAACTTGACGTACTTGTGCCCCTACATCTCATGCTATTTGCCCAACCACATGCCCATTTATCTGGTCTAGAATTATTGCTTTTTTATTTTTATTTTTTCTTATTTGGGGTCTGTTAAAATGCTGAATTTATTTTATTTTCCATGTTAGCCTGATAATTGGGATGAAGAAGAGGATGGCGTTTGGAAACCACCTAAGATACCAAATCCAGACTACAAGGGACCATGGAAGCGCAAGGTATGTCATTCAAGCTTTTGAAAGCCAACGTTGTAACTAAATTCTTTTATGGCATTTTCGTTTTTACTATAAAATTTTTGGCATACAGAAAGTCAAGAACCCTAATTATAAAGGGAAATGGAAGATTCCTTACATTGATAATCCAGGTATTTTTTAGTATTTCTTTATATTTTCTTATATGTTGTCCTGAATGAAATTCTTTTGGATTTGGATTTGAACAATTTGCAACAAAAAGATGAATGGTAGTCTTCTTCCTATACAGAGTTTGAAGATGATCCTGATCTCTATGTGGTTAAGCCAATTAAATATGTGGGGATTGAAGTTTGGCAGGTGAATGAGACAGCAGCAAATAGGTATTAAGTTGCTAACTTTGAATATACTTTATCTATATGATGCAAACTTGAAATGTAAATTACAGGTTAAGGCCGGTTCCCTTTTTGACAACATTTTGATTTGTGATGATCCATCGTATGCAAAACAAGTGGTTGAAGAAGTGTTTGCCCACAGGGAGGTGAGTCTTGCTCTTTTAAGATTACATAGTGTTTGACATCTCCAAAGCTGTGCCTAAATTTTCATCTATTTTGAGTTTTCAGGCAGAAAAAGAGGCCTTTGAAGAGGCTGAGAAAGTGAGAAAAGCACAAGAGGAAGAGGTTTTTTGCAGACCTTTCTGCTCATAATACTTGTTCCTAGATTCTATGATGAACCTTTGTTTGCTTGTATGGTGTTTCTAAGTACTTTGAGGACCTTTACAGGAATCAAGAAGAGCAAGAGAAGAAGGTGAAAGAAGGAGAAGAGAAAGGGGATATGATAGACGCCACAGAGATAGAGAACGCTACAGGGACAGATACAAAAGGGTATCTCTTTTACATGCTTCATCCAATTTTTTTCCCTTTTTATGAATGGCTGATAGTTTATTTACTTAATTTTACTTGTTTCTAAATTTGGGATGATTACCATTCTAAGTAAAAATGGCCAAGAGTATGAGCTTCCATGCCATGTCCTTAAATGTGACACGGCTATGATTAAAGACTAATCTATTCCTCCTTGTGTAGTAGCTGTATAGTTAAAGGAAAATGATTAAGGAACAACTTTTATTGTACAACTTTTTATACAACCTTATATGTCATTTAATGATTAGCCCTTTTCACTCTACTGCGGCTGTGATATATCATATGCATCCACTACTTTAATGACATGTGAAAGTTGTAAATAAAAGTTATACAAATAAGTTGTATGTAGATCATTACCCTATGATTAAAGCACTCTTAAGTCTTTCCTAGATCTTCTGTTGCTTATTCTGAAGATTTCATAAAATTGTGTTTGACATGATGTGTAATGGTAGTATGATGTTTTTTGTGTTGATGTATGTTGGTCATTAATTTTCTTACAAGTAAATCACAAAAACATCTTAGGGCATATTTAGTTTAGCTTACCATCTTGGATATGTGCATGATTTTCAAGAGAATGATACTTTGAATTTGGGTTAGGAGATTCCAAGGAAAACTTCTGCTCCAACATACCCCTATTTCACATGATTGTAACCTATTAAATCCCCTGAAACATTAAATAAGTGTGGAGAAAAGTACTTCTAATGCATATATTTGGGAAGATTTTGTATGTTCCCCAAGTTCAGTATGCTGCTTTACATGTCTGCTGCATTGAGGATAC